ACCATAATAGCTAGTGCACCACCTCAGCATTGTGGGTCATAGTGGGTGCACTTATTGGTTGCTCCTCCTCTTCCTCTTGCACTACCCCTCAATGTCTTTATGCAGAGAATGTTAGTGTGCTGAGGTGGTTCCAGTCTGTTTGGTTTGAGTGGGATATATATGTATGTATGTATGTTGTTTCACTCTTCTCGCATATGCCCTGTTCACAGATCAGTGGTGGGATTTCTCCCTCTGGTCAGCTGAACTTGAGGTGAAGATGGTATGATCCTCTTTCAAACTCCTGCATAGATGGTGGTTCTGGGTGGTTAAGTTTTGGATTGTAGTTCACTTACCAATGGTATGATCCTCGTCCTACCCCCTGCATGTATGTCGGTTCTTGGAGTTGAATTTTGAGCTCAGTTGACCTCTATTTATGGTTCATTGTACTCTAGCCCTTCTACATCTTGGGGCACATCCCTTATTTTCCCCACATTCTGTTCATCAGGGAGATTGAAATTATAATGTATTGTGTACCTGATGATGACAAAACCTTGTCGTAACGTTGTACATTTGCTGTTATGTTAAACTTATATTAAAGTTTTTCTTCATTACCCATTCAAGCCGTTTCCAACCATTATTAGTCTCAAAGTGGATTCCTCGTCATCGAATTTGAACAATGAATTTATTGTATGAATAGGAATATATTAAAAATATACATTGTCATATTGAATTAATGATCTATCATACATGCACAATTATTACCTTAGAGCAGGGTTTTTTAAACTGTGGGGTCCACCCCCACCACCCCTGGGGGTGTGTGGCCTTTTGCCAGGAGTACCCAAAAATAACAATGAAAGAAGCAGAAAAAACAAAAAAATAAATTTTTTAATACTTTAAATTTTCCTGTTAATACTTAAGAAAAAAATGATCAAAGAGAGGCAAAGAAACTACTGTATTTGCTGTTATTATCACTTGGAGAAATTATTCACTATGAATGGGGGGGGGGCTCCAGAAAATAATGCTGAGTTGGGGGCACCATTACATAAAGTTTGGAAACCTCTGCCTCAGAGTATTTTAACAGATTTTCATTAAGTTTTTGATATGAAGAATGGATTTGTGGTGTGAATTGCGAATGTGGCAGTGTGTAAATTACATTTGATTAAGTTTGTAATTATTACTATTCTGTTTTTTATAAAAAATATTCAAACAGAATTCTTAGAAGTCCAGCATCTTATTACCATAAAAGGTGTTATAAAACATGAATTGCACTATATTAGATATTTCTATTGCAGGTTTTAAAAAAGTGTCTTTTAGGTCTGTTTCCACTATTACTTGATGTGAAGATGTTGGAAAGTCATGCTTGCTTATTTATTGTTTTTAAATGCAGAATGAAGAGGAGCAGGTGTCTCCAGGTACTGGCAATGAAATGAGAGTTAAAACTGATCAAATGACATCCAACCGCAGTGAAGAATATGAAAAAAAAAAATTAAATTTAAAATAACTGAGAAGAGAAAAGATGGAAGTTCTGAAAGTAAAACAATTACAATGGACAAATGTATTAAAAAGAATCAGTCTATATCATATAACACAACATATGTATTCTATACTGTTTTCATTATGTTTTTGTGTGTGTGTTTGAGCTATTGCATGTTTATGCTTATACAACCATTAACACATGTTAATTCTTCAGGCACATTTGAAAGTTATTTTAAAGAAATAAAAAGTGAATATTCAGAACAGTATGACCTAAGTTGGAAAATTGTAAAATCTTCTGTGAAGTCTGTCTTGAACCATGCCTCTCCAGAAAGTCCTGCTGTAGTGTTATTGTTAGGCATGAAAGAAAATGAAGATAGAATTAACATTATTACTGATAAGTTAGCTAGAGTCATTGCAATAAGTTTTAATGAAACTCTTCCAGAATACAAAGATTTTGACCTTAATAATCTGGCTAGTATATCTGATTATGTGGAAGTTAAACACAAAATTGTAGAAACCATTAGTACTTCAGTGGAATGGAACAAACACCATGTTCTTGTGATACATCATTTGGAGAAGATTCCAGCTAAAGGAGCCATGGCTTTTCATTCATTTTGTGACCATGAGAGTGCTCCGTATAAGAACGTAGTTTACTTGTTTAGAGCTTCCATATCAGAAATGCCACTTAAGGAAGACATCCAACTGTTTGATAGTATAGCAACTAAATATTTAAACCAGATATGGGAAAAAGATTTAGATCAAGACAAGAGAGGTGCATTGATAAGTCGTTTAACTAGTGCAGTTGCTATGTTTAAGTGAAATGTAACATGAAGTTTTATTGTTCATTTCTAGATTGGGCAGAAACTGAATGACAGACAAATATTTTTATCCACTAAATTTAATACCTTGTTTATATTTACTCACTTTACATATTGCAATTCTGTATCTAACAAGACACTAATTATTTTGTCCATGATACACATGTTAAAAATCATCTACTCATAGAAACAAATTAATTAGTTTTTGTTTTTTATAGGGAATATTAATATCAAAGTAATCTAACATTCTGTAACATTAAAGAGAAGTTACATTATTGCTGTTTAAGAGTTGGATGTTAAAACTACAGGTTTTCTACTACCAAAATGATATGACAGATAACTTGTATCTTGTTTGAAATTTAATAAAAAACAATACAAGTATTAGGGGAGGTCTGAAAAATGACTTAATTGTTTGTTCACCTTTTTACATTTAATATTTCTAGATGTATATTGAACTTTTTATTGTGTAACTTTGTGGGTTTGTGTGACTTCTTTGAATAATTAAAAACTTGATTAAGATTGCCTATATATATATGTAACGTATAATATGGTAATAAAAGTGTCACAGTAAGTAAAATAGCTTTTAATTAGAAAACGACAAGAGTATTAGTATGTTACATTAGTGATAATACATTGTGCTGTAAATAAGAATTATTACATACAGTATTATGTGATATATATATATAAAATGTATACAATACTTTTCTTGTTTAAAATTATTGAAGTGATTTTATCATGTGGTGTAAAAAGCATCTTGGAACTCATTAGATTCATGCCTATCTCTATCCATGTCAAATTTTTAGGTGTAAGAAGAAGCAATTAATGTTTTAGTTATGGTTACATTATAGTGAAATTCTTGTTACTGTAGGTGGTGTGATTAATAAAGTTAATGAAACATTTTCTTGTACTGCTTGCTGGTGTTGAGAAGTTATATCACAGTGACATTTACAGATTGTTGTTTTTAAAGACCTTATAACCCATACTTTGTACTGTGTTTAATAGTTGAAGCATTATTATTTTCTAGCATAGCTTAAGTGAAAATTGGGGGGGAGGATTTTTTACAAGAAGGATTGCCTTCACCACACTTTTACATTAATGGAGGAATGTTCTCCCTCACATCTCACAAGCAAATTTATTTTTTATGAGTGAGTAAGAGAATAAAAGCTTGGAGATGGCTTGAATGGGTAATGAAAGAAACTTTATTATGAGTAACAAATGTACAATGTTTCAACAAGCTTTTGCACATTTACTTGTGATAAAGTTTCTTCATTCAAGCCATCTCCAAACTTCATTTTCTAAAAGTGAATTCCTCATCATCAGAGTAAGAGAAAGTTTCAATTGTGTTGGCTGTCAATAACCTGCAGAGAATTGGTGTAAATCATGTGAGCTATATTGCTATGCTGTGAGTGAAAGGGTTCACAAACGAAACAGAATAGGCAACTACAGCAGTACTGTTTTGGTTTGTGCACTACTTGGGAGAGTTTTTGTCAATGTGCTTGATTCTCTACCACACAGTAACAATGGGAATAAATAAATCATGGTTGTTATAGCCTATTTCACCAAATGGAAGCAGGAACTCTAGCAAGGAGACTCTTCAATGAATTTAATTTCAAGATTTGAGGTGCCTATGGAATTTCACTCATATCATGGATAGAAGTATGACCAACCTTGTTTGCAGAAGTGGTCAGATCCTTGGGATAAAAAACTACAGGACAACAGCCCTTCACCCATTTTCTGATGGCATGGTGTAGATAAAACAGCAGTAGATGAAGCTATAGGCAACACACCAGCATCCCTAACGTTTCAAGGAGTACAAGTACCTTTGGACCTTCTGTACTTATATCCAGCAGATAGTCACTCAGGTGTCTTAAACAGAAAATGCCAAGAGACTAAGGAACCCCTGATGTCTTCTTTACACATAAGTATCCAGCTGTCATAAGGTTGTGGAAATGATGGAGTGCTTTGGAATCTAGAGACTTGTAAAGTAGGAACTGTAATCGTTGTTTCTGTGTACTACTACCTTCCCATTCCAGACATAATACTTCTTTTAAACATAATGAGTTCTACTGTGCCTAATTCACTTTTGTCTTTGGGCTGTGTAAGAAACTTTTGCCAAGAGGGTTTTTATGCACTATTATTGATCCACTGAATAATTCGTTTTGAACACGTACCTTATGCCTGAGCATCTTTCATTTGACTGTTAAACCATATTAATTCTTCATTTGTGGATGTTTCATCTTGGACTATGTTCTGTTATACTTTAGGTTGGTTGTCCATTATCTTGTGCTTCCCTCTTTTCACAGTGTTTAAATTCTTAACTAACACATGGTCTTTGGGATAGTGCTTCATCATTTCTAAGGCTCTGGCCAGGACAATACATGATGTTAAAATGATATTCTTGAGGTTTCTGAAGTTATCTTGCTATCTGGCCTTCTGGATTGTGAAAAATTCACCAGCCACTTCAATGGTGCATAAATTGTCTTGAGTGTAAACGTTTGTCCATGTAGGTAATGATAGAACTCAATGGATTTTCAAGAGTTGGGTATAATAATACAATAAAACATATGCATGTGGCTATAAATTTGCAACAACCTGAAAGGTAGAGTTAAATGAAATTATTTCAATACAGTGTCAATCATCAAATTAAAAACACTGCAAATGAAATAAAATTTTACACACAATTACTGTATTTAAAGTGCGTTAGAGGGCTTATTTGAACTGAGAGAATTAATTATGATCCCTAATTGTAAAGTAAACTTTTAACATATAATGGGCTATTAAAGCAACAATGTTCCATTACTTAGACAGTCCAAAGATATAACTGAGCCTTCCATTTGCTTCAGTTTAAAGAAGATTAATTTAAAACATTAATTCATACCCCTGGGTTCACACCCCTGTGGCAGCCATGGTCTATTATAGCATGGACGCATAAGCACGTGGTCCCTTAAATTAGGGGTTAATGGCCTAGCATCTTGTTGTGATCTGATGGTGTGAAGGTCCCAAACAGTGATCTCTCTACAACTGCAGACTTAGGAAGATCAATTGACATATGATGTGCCCAGCATGGTACATTGGGCATTGCCCCTGAGAGTCAATCTTGCACAATGGAAGCACAGATGACTGAGGGTTTTTGAGGTGGAATGACACATGGCGAGAATGAGACCATTGAGATTATTTCTGTAGAACTTTCAGGCCATCATCAGCCCACAGCAGGATATTTGAAATTGCACAGAGCTTCAGTGTGATCTTCATCTGATTGTCATAGTCTCTAAGTACATCTTTTCCCTTACATCCATTAGGTCAGCTATATATCAATTGGTTATTGTTTAGAAACTTCCATGGTAAAAGCTTTGGCCAACACCATAGGTTCCTGTGATTGAAGCCAATCAGATTTTGTTCCTAATGTTGTGGCAATGGAAGATTTGGAAAATTGTCTGAGTGTTATAGGTAGGTGTTTGCTTGGAACATCGGTACTCATGAACAGGTAGTCCAATTCATGATTCTAAGCTTAGAATATCCAGCCTGGATTCCATTGAGCATTTGGATGAGACACAACAAGAAGACTGGTACTCAATCATGGCTAAGTTATGCAACCAATTCCAGTTGAGAATTAAGTAATGCAGAACTCAGAAGTAAAACGCCAATGAGAACTTGGATACTTACACATATGGTTTTTACCACCTGCACAGTAATCTTACCATACAGTGACTTGAGCAACAGATAGACAAATCACACCCAAGTATAATTTCATAGACTTCACAGCAAGACCAAGAGGCATAACCTACTTGTGAGGGATATTCTAATCCTAACTGACTCAGTTTCTATTGTGACCAAATATGAAGTGGTAACTTCAAGCTGGAGCAGTAGAAAGGAAAACCAATGACAACAGCTGCTATGACTATACATCAGATTATCTATCATACTTAGATACTTCCATGACATCAAACTCTAACCCTGATAAGTGCTAACCTGTTAAACACATACTGACACTGTGTTTTCCCATAGTTTATATGCCACAGTTCACTTGGATATCATTTGGAAGAGGAGGAGCAAAACATTTAATACACTTTGTATATGTTGGTACATAGGCAAATTAACTGCCTTTACTTTGCTATGTAGTAAAGATGGCAAGGCTATGAGTTCCAACCAAATTCTCAGTAGTTGCAGGATGACTAGCAGTGTCCATACTTTGCAGAGCCACAAAGTTGGCAAAATTATTGGCTTCTACTGATGGCTCAGTAGGCCCAGTAAGACAAACAGCAAGCAGTAGGTATTGCCACTAAAGTTCCAGAAAATGAATGGAACTAAAGTCAGCTCTGGTCACTGACTTGGAGGATTATGGTAGACAGTTTTCATTAAAGAGTTTGGTGATCAACTTAACTCTTTTAGGCCTAGCTCTGTCAGAACATGAGTAGCATCTGAAATATATCTAAATAAAACACCCACTCTGGCCAGTGAATGTTGACTTCATCATGAGAAATGGTGATAGGTTAGATGTAAGTGGAAAGGTCGACCTCTGTCTTTGACTAAGGAGTATCACTCACACAATGAAGGCAGTCATCTTCATACTTTTATCTGTCATAGATGGTTGTACTGTAGGAATTTATCAATCAGTTTCTCTGGTGCAACTAATGAATTGATGTTCTGTGGAACTTATACTATGTTAGCTAGAATGAGCCTATGAACAATGGATTGTACAAGTGTATGTAGAGTAGAGAATAATAATAATATCTGCATATATACAAGTAATGCTTGTTGTTTACTATAAATGAAATCTAGTGTTGTAGTACTCTGTTATGCAGTTATAGAGGCTATGCATGAAATTAATTGTTTCCTACCCAGAAAGTAGGAAGCAGTAGCTCAGATAGTTATCTGTCTGAAGAGAGAGAAAGTCTGGTGTTGTTTTGTAATTAAGGGCAATAGGTTGTCTAACTTCAAAGGTGATTTCAGGATTGCATCCATTTCATCATAATCAGTGAGCTAATTTCAGCAACCAATTGTTTCCTCAATTGTGTTTTGTTAGATGGGGTGAAGACTAGCACTTCGTCTTATCACTCCAGTCAGATGACTAAGCAGAACAAGTAATAAAAACTACCAAGCATATATTGGCCAAGTTTGTTAATCATAGCTGAACCAACTTGCTATGGTTATGAGGCAGTTATGAAGAGTAATGTAACAGAAGTATGTAGGCTTATTACCAAAATATATCATGTTTTGGAGGAGAACATTACTCCCTGTTGAAATGATATATGGTCTTAACCCCACGATCAGATGTTCTACAATATTCACAGAATATGTAGGCTAGTTAAGGCCTGCACAAATTGATGCATACTAATTTGCCTGTTGAAACTTGGAAAGGCTGCTTGATGACAGAAAAAAGTGTTATGACAAGATAGTGAAAGAGTGGATATACTGCTGTGGGGATTTGGTGTGGCTGGACTTGTCTTTACCTTGTACTCGTGTAGACTGGTCGATTGATATGCAAGTTACAGTTGACATAAAATGGGTAAAAATGAATGGAGTAGGTCCATAAGCTGCATCCATGCATTGCAGACGAATCTCTCATGCACTGGCTTTATCAGGAGATTGGGCTTTGGACCAATGAGTCAGAGGAGGACATGGATGTAGTTTCAAGACATACCAACACACCATGAGGGATAAAGAGCTGAAATTACTTATCTGTCTGCCCCCAAAGAATCAGATGAAGAGCTGCTGGAGTGACAGGCAAAGGATAGCTCTGACATTTGGCTGAGTCACTGGCATCAGCTTCCTCATCAATATTGGTAGAACTGCATTATCATCAAAAAATAACCCAATTGGTGCTAGTAGATATAATGCCTAGAACATCAACAGTCTACACTACTGAGGATGGTAGCTGCAAGTAGAAAAACTCAGTTGA